GAAACTCCCTTGTCTCAGTGTATGGAGCAAAGAACCATTCACTGCCCTCCCAACGGCCATGTTCACACCTTGTGTGGACTGGCGGACCTTCCTGGGTGGCCTCTCCGCCTGCCTCACCCCTGCCGCTGTGTGCTTTCACTCTGCAAACAGTGTAGCCCTGCCAATGAACTCTTGTGGAACAGCCCTACCCTGCTGAGCTTCTTGCCAGTGACTCACTGTTTTGGGGATGCAGTCACAAGTGGCTGCCAGCCTGACTTTCAGGTTTTTATTTTTGCTTATTTTGGTTTTTGTAGTACTAGAAATTGAGTCCAGAGCTAACTCCCCAGCTTTTCTTATTTTGTTTTGTTTTGTTTTGTTGAGTCAGAGTTTCCTTATGCAGTTCAGTCTGCCTTGAACTCACTATATAGCTCAGGTGGGTCTTGAATTCACTAAAAATCTTCCTGCTTCAGCCTCTTGAATGCTGGGATCACAGGCATGTGCCGCCATGCCTAGCACTTTTCTTTTGAGAAAGGGTCTCCCTAAAATCACTAAACTGCCCAGGCTGGACTCAAACTCTAGAACTTCCTGTTTCAGCCTCTCAGACTGCTGGCATTACAAGAGTACACCCCGATATCCGGCTCCATTGTGTACCATTCCAGCTTCCTGTTGGGCTCCCACAAATTGCACCATACAAGCTGGTGATGTCATGCAGCTGGGGGACCCTGTCCCTGACTCTGGATCATAGAGCCTCTGTCTCTTGAGAGCAAGGCATTCTCCAAGAGGTCTGCTCCCTGTAGTCGCTGGTAGGCTTCCAGCCTCGTCATTGTCATAAGCATCACCATTACCATCCACAGTGGACGACGCTGCTCAGTGCTGCCCTAGGACTGCAGGACCTCCCCAGGATGCTCTGAGCCTCTGCATTGCCTCCTTGGCTGAATCAGGTCCTGTAGGAACCAGGAAGGTCTTGAGATCCCAGAGACCGCATCTCTACCCACTCCTTCCTTTCTTTTCCCCTTGCAAGAGGCTCTCCTGACCTCCTTCTACATACCAACAGAGTCCTTGGAGACTCAGGCTCTTGGCTAGGGCCACAGACTGGCTGGGAAGCACTGAGCAAAAACCTCCAAGAAGGGAGAGAAGTAGAACAAAGCCAGAACTCTCCCTTCCTAAGCAGGAAGTTGGACCCGTTGGCACTTTGCACAGTCTCCATGTCTGTTTGTGGAACACAAAGACTTCAAGCCCTGAAGGGGCCTTAAACTTTGTTTTCAAAGAGCTATGATTAGGGCAGGGGGTATATAGTTCAGTGATGAAGTATTTGTGTAGCATGTGCAAGTCCCTGGGTTTGGTACTGCAAAAAGAAAAAGAGAGAATAAGGCTATGGTTAGATGTTCAACTCCATTAGTCATAAGAGGAATGCAGGTCAAAACCACAGTGATGGGGCTGGGAATTTAGCTCAGCGGCGTAAGCACCTGCCTTGTAAGCAGGCGGTCGTGAGTTCGATCCCTGGTACCAGTAAAAATGAAAAAGACAAAAAAAGTAAAAATTAAAATTAAAAAAAACCACAGTGAGGTACTACTTCATGCCCACTAGGGTGTCTATAATATTTTAAAATAGACAATAAATAGCCAAGGGTGGTGGAGCATGTTTGTAATCCCAGCACCCTGGGAGACTGAAGTACGAGGACTGTGAATTTTAGCCCAGCCTAGGAAACTTAGCATGACCTTGTAACAAAGTTTTTTAAAAAAAATTCTTAAAGGCTTGGAGATGTAGCTCAGAGTAAAGATTCTGGGTTCAATCCCAAGTACTCTGCAGAAAGGAAGAAAGAGAGAGACTGAGAAGAAGAAAGAATGAAAGAAAGAAAGACAGACAGACAGACAGACAGACAGAAAGAAAGAAAGTGCCAAGAAAGTGGAAAAGTTGGTGCCCAGTGTTTCACTGGTGGGCAGGTACAGTGCAACAGCTATGGAGGCCCAGCGTGATGACTCCTGTAGAGGGCACACATAGTGACCACAGGATCCTGCACTTACCCTCCTAGATGTGTGTTCAGAACCTTTGCAAACTGCTGCTGAGATAAACCTTGTACATGAACATTCAGAGCATCCCTATTCACAATGGCCAAAAGGTAGAAGCAATCTAAATGTGTACCAAGGAGTAACTAGATTCACAGGGAGTGGGGCACAGGGACAAGGGGTCCTAGTTAACCACAGGTGTGGCCATGCTAGATAGGGTGAACCTTCAAGACGTTGTGTCGAGTAAAAGAAGCCAGATGTGAAAGGTCACATATATTTGACTCCATATATGAGATATTCAAAATAGTTAAATATCAATCATTGGTTACCAAAGGTTGGTGTACACAGGCAAGGGCAGGAGGAGATGGAGAAGCAATAGAGATGTCTTAGTTACTTTTCCTCACTGCTGAGACAAAATACCCAGCACCCAAAACTAAAGGAGGAAAGGTTTGTTTAGCTCAGTTTGTTGAGATTTTCCAAGGTTGGCTCCAAGGCAGGGTGACGTGACAGAGGGAGCCTGCAGAGGAGAAAGAGTCCATGGTGGGTAGAAATCAGGAACGCAGCAAAGTAATAAGTACCAAGCAGCAGTGACAAGTGAAGACCCTCTTCCTGCCCTTAAATCCTACCCAGGTGTCCCTTAGGGTGGGTAGCACTCGCGCCCAGGGTGGGGCAGCCTTAATCCTGGCACTGCATCATGAATCAATCCCAATATCCATCCCCAGTCCCAGTATCACACACCCTAGATCCTGCCCCCTGTGAAAAGCCCCACTGATGACCCTATCAGGATGTAGAGGGACACCTAGACACAAGTCATAACAAGAGAGCTCCTATACATGCTCCCCTCGTGGCAGCTTCCTCCCCCTCCTCCTCCTTGTCCTCCTCTTTTGTCCACACCTTCTTCATCTTCTCGTTCTCCTGCTTCTCCTCCTCCTTCTTGGTACTAGAAACTGAACCTGGGCCTTCACAATGAGCTACATCCGTAGCCTTTTTCTTAATTCGTTAGTTTGAGACAAGGTCTCCCTAATTCATTAAGTGACCCAGGCTGGGCTCCAATTTACAATCCTCCTGCCTCAGACTCCCAAACTGCTAGGATCAGAAGCGTGTACCATCATGCCTGGTTCTACCTGGCTTCTTCCAAGGAAAACATCTTACACAATAAATACAATCTCCTATCAAAACCAGGAAATTAGCCATAGCACCATGAAACTAACTAAACCACAAATCTCATTCACTTTTGCCAGATTTTTCCCTGCAAGCTGCGCCCGATCTGTGTAGACCTGCAGGAGCATACCACAATCAGAATGCAAATCCGTCAGCACAGCCAAGTGTTCTTGCTTTTAACAAACGTGTACTTTATGGATCGAAAAGTAATTGTAGATTGTCTGAGAGGCTATAAATATGATTGAAACTGTGTGCTGGCACTTGGGGTCTGGCTCAGTTTTTTGAGCATATGGTAAGCATACACTAAGAGGCTTGGGTTCCATCTTGAGCATCCAAAATAAATAACTTTTAAAAATTACTCACTCTGGATCACTGTGTAGATTACTCAAAGCATAATTGAAATATATGGTGAATATTTAAATAAATTTGTTACAGTAAAACATGTTGCCAGGAATTCACCCTCAAAATAATCTCCCTTGCTCCAAACACTCTTAGTCCATTGTTCTGGCCACTTTCTGAAGCAGCTCTGGAAGTCCTCTTCCGTGAGTGTCCTTGGAGGCACTGTTGTTGGTGCCTCCGTGTTCTGACTTGATTCAAAATGTTGCCCTTTCATGGTCACTTTGACTTTGGGGAAGAGCCAGAAGTCACATGGTGCCAGATCCGGTAATGAAGAACATGAGGACACGCTTATGTTTCTACTAGCCTGTCTCTCCAGTGGATGGCGATTGTCAGCACCTGCGCTGTGTTTTTATCACACCGCAGTCTCCCAGATGCTGAGATTACAGGTGTGCGCTACCACACCACCTTTTGTTTCCTCTTGACCACCGAGTTGGTCAGGTGCACTGTGTAAAGGGTTGAGAGTACTTCCTCGGAGGTGAGGTAGGTAACTGCACATTGTACCACCTTTCCTCTGGCAACCAACAGCTGAAAGTCAGCAGCATTTGTCCTTTAAGAAAGGGTGTCAACCGGGAGTGGGAGGATACCGCTGTAATCCTAACATCCCAGAGGACGAGGCAGGAGGATCCATGCAAACTGGAAGCCAGCCTGGGCTACATAATTCAAGGCTAGCCTGAGCCACGTAGTGAGACCCTTTCTCAATAAATAAATAAATAGATAGAAAGAATGAAAAAAGGGTGGGGGACTCTAGTTTGCCACAGTCCCTGCCCTTTCGTTTTGCTCACCCTGCAAAGAACTGAGGCTGAATTTGGGACGAGGTAGTTTTTTGGAGACAAGTTCTCACTGTATCGTTAAGGCTGGGCTTGAACTCACTACGTCAGCCAGGCTGGTCTGGAGCTTGCAGCAATCCTCCTGCCACAGCCTCCTGAGAGTACCAGCATGAGAGGAATGTGCACTACCATATCTGGCCTGAGGCTGAAATTGGAACATGCCAGGGCACTAGAGCTACTGGGTTTTACTGTTTTCAGCAAGGCAGTATTTCTCAGTACCCACTTCTATATCAAAAATGAGAAAGTGAGATGGAAAGGCTTTTTGGCATGTGAAATATAACTCTGAGTACTACATTATGCAAAGAATGATTGCTCAAACCTCCCTGGCATTGAGTTTCACGAACTTAACTTTTTGAACTTTAGATGCCTGATGAAACCCAGCAGCAGCTGACAGGAGGAAGGGAGGGGCTGGCTGTGGCAGGAGATGGTGGAGAGAAGGAGTCTTTAGAATCCTGGCAAAGGCTGAGCCTTCGCTACAGTGCCAGTGATCAGGGAATTGAGCATTCATGAGGCTCTGGGTTATGGGAGATGGATACCCTGCTGCTTTCTTTGAATTCCCAAAGGCTAATAAAAGACAAGCGAAGGATTTCTCAGAAGTGTGGGTTAAAATGTAACTACATCTGTTGGTCTGTTTCTGACTGCAATAAAAGATAATCTCAGCTTTCAGGAGGCTGAGGCAGGAGGATCACAGCAAGTTCCAGACCAGACTGGGCTACGAAGTGAGCTCAAGGCCAGCCTGAACTGCATAGTAAGTATTTTGTCTCAAAAAGACAAAATAAAATAAAATTTAAAAAAAATATAAAAGATCAATTATGATCTGGCTGGGAGTGTAACTCAGTCGCACTGAAAAGGAAAGGAAAAAAATAGTTTGTGATTGAGTATTTTTGTGGCACTCAATCTAAGCAGCATAGGAGAGATAAGACAGAGGGAGGAAAAGTAGGAAGAGGCCTTTAATGAGGGCCGGGGAGAGCTTTATAGGGTTCAGCAGCTCAACAAGAACAGAGAAGGGACTTTTATCAGTTTTGGCTGGAGGAGGAGTTTGGGAGGTTGACAACATGACATATCAACTGCTGATTTGAAAGAGCGTTTGCCTGTATAAAACAGGAGACAGAAAGATTTACTGGGGGCTGGGGGTGGCAGCTTGGGCAGTTGTGGAGTCTTGGGATTGGAGAGGGCTCAGTGCATGCAAAAAGGGAGCTGGAGGTTTATCTCTGGAATGAGAACACAGACGTTACTCTCGGAGAGGTAAGTTGTTTCTCAGGATCCAGGACCAAGCTGAGCTGACGTCATGTTACAGATAGCTAAGCCTCAGGCTAGCAGAACCTATCAATTTATTTGTTTCTTGGTTTGCTTATTTAGCTTTTCTGAGCATTTGTCACAAGACCCCAACAGTGCTTCAGCTTTAAATCTCACCGTCCTGCTCTGCAGCTTCCCGGGCTCTGTTTGTGAGGATGCTGATGAGCCAGGTGTTGGCATGGGCCATGCACAGACTGGCGAGCACCTGGAAGGTCTTTCCTCCTCTGTGATGACCCTGGCCTTCTCATTCTTGTAGATGTTCCTGATAGGCATCGCAGGTCCTGACAGCTGGGTGGCCAATTTGAGTTCTTCAGCAGAGCTGTCTCCCCTCTTGGGGACCAATGGCTTCCTGAGGAAGAAGGTGAGTTTGGAGCAGTACTCTTTCCTCCACTGAACATAGGCCTACAGCAACTAGGTGGATTTGTTCTGCCTCCTTGGGTCCACTGAGATGTCAGTGGTCCAGGCCACCTTCTTGTGAATACGTCACCTTCTGCTCCTCCAGACTCAAGTCCCAGCCAGTTTGGACTTTAGTGTGGTATGGAACCGTGGGGAGGGTGCAATATGGGCCAAATAGGTCAGGATTCAGGGCGATGCTGCGTGCTTTTGCCTGCTGGGTCTTGTTCCTGTGGACCTTCCAAGTTTCCTGACGGAACTACGTGGAGCCACGATCCACCACCAGGCCTTGTAGAAGTGGGACTTCAGAATGATGCCATTCCAGTTGGGTGCTATGGTTGCCTCTTAGGCCATGGATCGGCTGAATGGAAAGGGACAGCCTGTTTTTTCACTTGTTCATTTGTTTGTTTTTGTTTTTTTGTTTTGAGGCAGGGTCTGGCTATGTAGCTCAGACTGACCTTGAACTTGCAGTGCTCCTCCTGCCTCAGCCTCCTGAGTGCTGCACCACCATGCTGGGCTTCAAAAATTGTTGGTAGTAGTAACACAATTACTTTTGCCAGGTGCAGTGGTGTGTGCCTGTAATCCCAGCACTCAGTGGGGTAGGGGAGCCGAAGCAGGAGGATTACCATGAGTTCAAGACCAGCCTCAACTACATAGGGAGACTCTGTCTCAAAAAAAAAAATGTATTTTAAACTGACCATGGTGATGCCTGCCTGTAATCCCCAACACTCAGGATTCTGAGGCAGAAGGATCATAAATTCAAAGCCAGCCTGGATTACACAGCAAGTTCAAAGCCAGCCTAGACTATATAGAGATTCTATCTCAAAAAACAAATACAGAAGGCTGGGGATTTAGCTCAATGGCATAGCACCCGCCTGGCAAGTGCGAGATCATGAGTTCAATCCCAACCACCACCAACAACAAAATAAATGCAAAAAGCATATACATATATATAAAGTAATAAAACAAAATTTAAACCAGATGTGGCAGCATACATGTGTAATCCCAGTACTCTGGAGGCTGAGATAGGATCACAAGTTCAAGGCCATCTGGGCAACACAGTGACTTCAAGGTCAGCCTGAACTAAACAGTGAGACCCTTCTCAACAATTAAAAAAAGGAGAGGAATAATTAAAAAGTTATTTTATAAAGTAGATTTGGAAAAAATAAGACAAAAATAAATAAGAACAAAAAGATCATTTTAGCTGATTGATATGGGGTCTTGCTGCATTGTCTAGGCTGGTTTCCAACTCACAGCAATCTGTGCTCAAGCAACTCTTCAGTTTCAGCCTCCAAGCACTAGGCCTACAGGTGCAGGCTACCATAGCTGGTTAGCAAGTTGTTGTTGTTTTTCCTAAAAATTGAGGAAAGCAAAAATATGAGAGCTGGATTATGACTTATCCATCCCTTAGCTGACGTGCTATCTTGTTTTTACATTTACTGAGAATCTTCCCTGTAATTCTCTCACCTTCTCCGCACTACGGAGTCACATAGTGCTCGTTGCCTCACTGAAGGAATGAGGAATGAAAGAGAGAACGAAGTAGAAATCATCTGTGGGCTTTGCTTTCGTTTCTTTCTTCTTCTTCTTCTTCTTCTTCTTCTTCTTCTTCTTCTTCTTCTTCTTCTCCTTCTTTTTTTTTTTTTTTCTTTTTGAGACAGGGTTTCAGTAGCAGTTAAGACGAGCCTTGAACTCACCACGTACCCAGGCTGGTCTCAAACTTGCAATGACCTTTCTACCTCAACCTCCTGAGTGCTGGGATTACAGGTGTGCACCACCAAACTCATCTGGGTTTTACTTTTTTTTTTTTTTTTGCGTGGTACTGAAATCAAACTCAGGACCTCACACTTGCCAGGCAGGCACTTATGCCGCTGAGCTAAATCTCTGGCCCCCTGGGTTTTGCTTCTTATGGTCCAAAATGCATTGTATGGAATGGCATTTAAGATATGAATTTACAGGAAGAAACATTCACCATGCCCTGTTCAGTTTGCCAAAGCTTATGAGATGGATAAAAAGAAGGCGTATTGCCCTGATACCCAGGAAGTCCTCAGAGAAATAGTTAATTTGAGATTGAGCAAGGGAAGGAAGAGGAAGGGCCAGGTTCCCATAATCCCCTTGGAGAGCACAATGACCTAAAGATCTCCTAGAAGGCCCTGCCTCTTAAAGGTTTTACTACCACCTCCCAATAGCACCAAGTTGTAGGCCAAGCTTTTAATACACAGACCTTTGGGAGACATTCAAGAGCCAAACTATACTAATATAGACAATACTGCTGGAGCTCAGGGACCAGGAAAATGCCCCCAGATCAACCTCTGACTTCTGCCCTAAGGTCCACTATCTGGAGGCAGAGATAAGAATAACAAAGACCCCTGGAAATTCCAAAATGCCAAACCAGGATCTGTGCATAGGAGATCAGCCAGTGTGACCTACCATGACCTTTCTTCACTTGGAGTTTATTAAAAGTTCATACATGTGGACTGTTTCTCATATAGCCAATTATAAGGCAGCACATGCCTGTAATCCAGCACTCTGGGAGACTGAAGCAGGAGAATTTCAAGTTCAAGTCCAGCATCCGCTACTTATAACATGGTAGTATCTTGTCTTAAAACAAAAAAAGTAATAAAGGCTGGGGAAGTAACTCAATGTGAAGGCCCTAAGTTCAATCTCCAATATTACAAAAAAATAAACAAATAGAAGACTACTAGAACCTTGGAGGGATGACCTCCCCATGAGAACATGCCTCTCTCAAAAAGTCTCTTCTTGCTTTTGTTTTTTGTTTTTGTTTTTGTTTTGAGGCAGAAGTTTACTATGTAATCGTGCGTGGTCTTGAACTCACCGTGTACCCCCAAGCTGGCTTCAAACTTGCAGTCATCCTGCTTCAGCCTCTTGAGAGCTGGGGTTACAGGTATGTGCCACGAGCCCAGCTATAATGGTTCACCTTTCTTCCCCAAAAGAAGAGAAGAAACACAAGAAGGGGTCCCAGGTACAGAGTCAAATTCCTGCTTCATTGAATAGTAGTGTTTAACATGCTAGAAAATCTCCAGGCCTCAGCCACATGTGCACACAGTAGTTGTGAGTGTTGGGAACTAGCTCCATGTCCTCTGCTGGCCCACAGGAGGGCAAGCCAGGTGCTGTGATTTACATCTGGATGTCCTTGCACCCAAAGGCTTGTGGAAGGTGAGGGTAGGATGGGGATTATGTAATAGACTTGCTGTTAGTGGATGGGGTTTGGTGGGAAGAGGCGGGTCACTGGGGGCTGAGCTGAAAGGGTGCATCTCCCTGTCCCACTCCCTGCACTCTGTGCTTTCCTGAAGTGAGCCTCTTTCCTCCACCAGACCCTCCCACTAGTCTCCCAGCGCTGCAGCCAACCAACTGAGGACTGAAATATGAGCCAAAATAAACCTCCGCTCCTTTAAATTGCAGGTGTCTGGTATTTTGTTCCAGTGACTGGGAAATGACCTCAGACACCAGGCTTCCAGAAGAATGCTCCTGCAGGAGGGGGTAGCACCAGTGCACTTGAATCAATGTGCATGGGAAACATCCCCATAGGTACATTTTGGATTAAAAAAAAAAAAAAAGACTACTAGGATCTTATCTAATAAACTGGGTTCCAGTGTGAAGAGGCACCCACTGGCCAAAGGGCTTAATTTGAGTATCTAATAAAGATAATAGCTGCAGTAGGTTGAAACATATATAAATCTCTGAACTCATAAATATGTTTAAAAAGTTTTGTCATCAAAAAAGAAAAATCTCATCAGTTACCTTAAAGAATGCCAGAGAACCAATTTTGCAATCCAGTCCCTCAAGAGAAAGCAGCAAGGATTTGTATGCTGTCTTTCTTCTCCGCTCTGTGCCTCAGGACCCCAGAGAGTTGATTAAGGCAAGTTTCTCTTTGTAGGATGATCCCACCTAACACACACAGGAAGAGGTTAAATTAGAACATCATTGCAGTGCAGTTTATAACGGATTAATTGAATGAAGTAATGAGCACCAACAAGCGAGGAGTGATGGTTTTGTCTATAATCCCAGCATCCTGGAAGGCTGAGACAGGAGGACTGCAAATTTGAGCCCAGCCTGGGCAAGTTAGAAACTATTTTATTTTATTTTTGGTCTTTTAGAGACAGGGTCTCACTGTGCAGTTCAAGCTGGTCTTCAACTTACTTTGTAGCCGAAGTTGGCCTTGAACTCACAAAAATCCTCTTGCCTCAGTTTCTTGCGTACCGAGATTACAAGTGTGCACCACCATGCCTGGCCATTTAGCAATTTAGTAAGAGCTGTTTTAGAATTTAAAATGAAGACAAAGGATTGGGGTTATTGCCCAGTGTGAAGGACCTAGATTGTAATTCCCAGTACCACAAAAAAGGAGGTAGGGCAGCTTACATTACAATCCAAGATTGTGTTCTTGTGATACAAATCCATGCCATGCCCAGATGATGTTATCTAACCCAAACAGTGGAATATGGTTCTGCTCTGGCAGTGGGGCTATACATTTCTAGAGCCCAGGACGGATTACAGTACTAGGAACCTCATCACACAGGTTTGCTAAGTGCCAATGCTGCAGGAACACAGAAGACAGAAGAACATATGAAATGACATTATCAAGAATCTGAGAAAAAAAGAATTTGATCAAGGAAATTGTACAGGGTAAGAGATGGAAGGAACCAATTTTTTTTTTTCTTGGTACTAGGGATTAGACTCACGACCTTGCATTTGCCAGGCAGGCGCTTATGCCACTGAGCTAAATCCCAGCTCCTAAGGAACCAATATTTAAAAGATTTGGCAACATCAGTTGTAACACACAGTCCTATTTGGAATTTTCTTTTTGGCAGGATCTTACTATGTAGTTCATGGTGGCCTTGTACCCTGTCTATAGCCCAGGCTGCCCTCAAACTCTCAAAAAAGTCTCCTGCCTCAGCTTCCCAAATACTGAGATTACAAGTATGTGCCCCCACACTTGGTTTTTTGCTTTGTTTTGTTTTTTGGTGCTGGGGATCAAACTCACGACCTTGTGCTTGCCAGGCAGGTGCTTACACCACTGAGCTAAATGCCTGGCTCTACATTCAATTCTTATTTGGACTTGACAGTAAAATACCTTGAGAGAGTTGAGCCCAGATTGGATATTTCATTATGTCAATGAATTGCTGTGTGTTACGGCTTATATATAGATATACCCCCCCAAAGTCTCCTGTGCTCTTCTTAGGTGGGGCTTTTCAGAATAACTGGATCTTTCCTGTGTGATACTAGATTAGCCCACAATGGGTTTAGCATAGTTTTGGGTGGGGATGATGGATTTACAGAAGTGGGAAGACCCACTTTTGATGTGGGTGGCACCAACTGACACACTTATAGCCTGGATGGAATAAAAGGGGAAAGAAGGAAGGCTTGCTGCTTCCTGCCTGCCACACCACGGACTGTTTCTCCTCTCTCATGCCCCTCTGCCACGCTGCCCTGCCTTGGAGCCAGTTGACTATGAACAAAACCTCTATAAACTGTGAGCTACAATACACTTTTCCAGCTTTAATGAGTGAGTGTTGGGTATTTTGTCCCAGCAACAAGAAAACAACTAATATCCTGGGCTATGGTTCCAATGTGTCCCTTCCAAAATTCATGTGGAAACTAAATCCCAATGGTAGTTCCCCTTCTTGTATGATTTGAGGCCTCATTTTATCTTCTTTTTAATGTATTTTTTGCTTTTGGTTTGTAGAGTGTGGGGGGGGTGTGTGGGAGTGATTTATGGTTGGGGACTGAAAACAGGCTTTTTGATGAGCTACATTCTTTAACTAGCCCTTTTTATTTTAAGACAAGTTCTCGCTAGCAGGCAGGCAGGAAGGAAGTAGCTAAATTGATCTAGATGGCCTCAAACTTGTAATTCCCTGCCTGAGCCCCACAGAATTCTAGAGTTACAGATGTGTGGCATCATGCTTGGTCCCCTTTCTGACCTATCATTCCTTCCTTCAAGTGAAGAAACCTAGGTGGTGCCTTTATGAGGAACAGACCAAAATCAGATACCAAAACCTCTGCTGCCCTGTTCTTAACTTCACAGCTTCCAGAACTGGGAGGAAATAAATCTCTATTGTTTATTGATCATCCCATCTGTGGTGTTTTGTTATAACGACGCAAACTGACTAAGACGGACTGCTAAAATTGCTGCAAAAGATGATGATAGTGTGACCACGCTTTCTAACCAACTCTTCTATGTTCTACGTACATCTTGAAATATTTATGCTTGAAATAATACAACTGTGTGGGATTTGTTTCGAATTAACCTAGCGGGAGTGGGAAGAGGGTAGGATGGAGTCGAAGCAGGAGGAATCATGAGTCCACAGGCGTGGAAGCCGGATGGTGCTGCACGGGCGGAGCCATCATGCTGTGCTCCCTACCCTGCCATATGTTTGGAATTTTCTTAAGAAAATTAAAAAGCAGTGTCTATGTGGGAAGGGGGAGAATATATAGAACTCGTTGCTAGGATATGCATAAACACTCCCCGGAAGGACAAAAGGACCAGTAACCAGGTTGGCATCCGGAGGGAGGCACTGAGGGAGAGATAGGCAAAAAAGAGAAACTTTGCTGTTCATTATGTGATATCCTTCAGGCCAATGAATGTCTTTCCTTCTTTTTAGATGAAAGGAGGACCAGTGTGTGGCTCAGTAGAGGAGGGCTTGCTTAGTGTGCGTGAGGTCCTGTGTTCAAATGGCAGCATAAAAAAAAACAATAAAAAGGGCGACATGTACTAGTGAAGTCAGACTGCCATAAGCAGAAGCAGGCGGAGGGGTTTCCTTGCATAGAGAGTCCCTTTTGCTGAGATTGGAGAAGAGCAACAGCGAGGCAGAGATGTCTGTAACCTGGAGCAAGGCTGGGCCTTCAGTAGCATCCTGGCAGGCAGCAAGATGCCAGAAGGGCCGAGCTAGAAGGTGCATCCAAGTAAAAGCACTCAGCATCCCCACCCCAACTTCTCAGGTCAGGAGATATGAAGGGGCTGGCAAAAGGCAGAGCTAAGGTAGAACCCAGGTTTCTGCAGTTCTGAGCAGGATAGAGAAGCAGCAGAGAATTCTAGAACTTGAGGCCACATATGCCAAGATGGGAGGTTCCCATGGCAGCTGCTATGGTCCAGTAACAAAGAGATACATTAGCACTGGGCAAAACTCCAGGAGCACAGCACAATTGTGGAGGGGGTAGGAGTCCCAGGAAGCAATGGGGTGTAGGTTTGGGGCCAAATGGTGACAGCTTAGGTAGAAAAAATCTGACTTGTAGATAGCTAAGAAAGTCTATGTGTGCACACCTGAGTCTGTGGCCTATATATTGCAGCAAAGGGCCCAGGAATTAGACTTCTCAGGTCAACACTACTAACCTAGGAGTCCATCTATCTGTACCTTCACTTTCTCTTCTCTAAGTGGGGTCAATAAGCAATATTTCTAAGATGATTGAGAAAATTCAGAGATACAGTATGTATGGAAGGCCTAGCCCACTAAACAGATAGGGTAGGATGTAATAAATACTAACGTCAGTAAATGCTAATTCTGTGAGGTCAGTATTATAGTAATGGAAGAAGGAGTTCAAAGAATAAAGTGAATTTTTCATTGCCATCCTACAAACAAGTTCAAGATGATGATTTTATCTCAGAGACCATTAGCCTTCAAAGGCCACATTGCCTACAGTGTGCTGGAGGGTATGTACCATCCGCCTTCCACAGAGTTCAGGCAAAGCCAGCTGATATTGACATTTGTATTAATAAGCAAGATGAGAGGGAGACAGTGAAGATGTATATTGGGACAAATGAGGGAGCTCATTTGTCTACACACTCAACTTCTTTGCTGAACTGGGAGACAGGTTTGGAATTTTGCAAAACTGCCTCAAATTCTTGCACTATTCACAATGCAATGTTTGCAGAGATGACACACATTTTAACCTTAATCTAGATGCATTTCCTCTACAAGTTGCTTAAATCTAGACAATCAACATAGCAAGAAATAAAGATGGACCTGCGGCATCTCCTTTTTTGTTTTTTTTTTGTTTGTTTGTTTGTTTGTTTTGTACCAGGGATTCCAACTCACAATCTCGCACTTGCCAGGCAGGCACTTATGCCATTGAGCAAAATCCCCAGCCCTGGCATTGGCTTTTTACTCTTGCATGAATACTCCTAGCTCTTGAGAGCTGAGGATTGCATCTTTAGGGCCTCATGAACAAAGCCCCAAAATGTGAATGGGTGACAAGAGAAGGATTTGCAAAGGCATTCACTAAAAAACACAGAAGGAAAATCTATACCAGTCTGTTTACTGTTACTATAACAAAATACCTAGTGCAGGGTACTTTATAAATAAAAGAGGTTTAAGGGGCTGGGGATTTAGCTCAGCGGCATAAGCGCCTGCCTTGCAAGCAGCCAGTCGTGAGTTCGATCCCTGGTACCGATAAAAACGTAAAAGACAAAAAATAAATAAATAAATAAATAAATAAATAAATAAAAGAGGTTTATTTAGCCCACAGTTTTGTAGGTTGAAAGTCCAAGATCAGACTGTATCCGCTGTTGGTTTCTGGTGAGAGCCTTATGACAGAGATCATATGGGGAGTTAGGAAGACATAGAAGCTCAAGGACCAGACTTGCTTCATAAGAACCCAAGTCACTTGAAAGCATTATTAATCTCTTCCAATAGCACACCTCCATGACCCAATCACCTTTGAATACTGTACCTTTTGCTGGGTGTGGTGGCTCATGCCTGTAATCCCAGCACTTGGGAGGCTGAGGCAGGAGGATCATTGTGAGACGACCAGCCTAGGCTAT